GAGTATTCAGATGTTATTGTATGAAATGCTTTATTTGTATTCATGCCAACGTATGTGTTTAAACAGTTACACTTTGTGTTGTCTGTGAATTGTTCCAAGATGTCAACATTCCCATCACCGACTATAAACGCAGAAAAAAAAGTGTTCGATCAAATGTGCTTCTGCATTCTGTATAGCCATAACCTGTTGTTTTAGTTTTTTAAATGTATTTTGTATAACAATAATTTTCATCTTTTTCAAATTATATGTTGACTATGTGTGAGTTGCCCAATTTCAGTTTCTATTTGTGTTAATGTCAATGTTTATTCACAAAATTATGGATTTCATGTCCTAATGTTAATTTTAGCATTTTTAATATTAGTACTAATTTTCAAGTATTTGCTCGATAGCCACTCATTTGGAAAACATGTTTGGCCTTTTTTTTTAATCAAGGGAGCTATATTTACAGTGCCAGATTGTGTGTACTATGCACTTTGTAACTGATACTAAATCCCATTTACAGGCAATGACGATGATCCCATGTACTAATAACAGGAAGTGTGTATTTATTTATAGAGGGGATTTTTGATAGAGTATCTGTGTTTACAGATACATTTTCCATCATCAGTGTCATTTCAAATTCCAACATCTTACATTCTTACTTTAGCAAAGGATGATTTCCTAATTAGTGAAAAGCTGTTGATTATTTTAATTGGGTTGTTAACACCAAAATCTTTTCTTTAGACGATAAGATCAACATACCTTTGTATACCCCTGAACACGTCCTAAATCTAAATCCTTCTCCAGTATACTTATCTCTTTCCATGTTACCTAATTGTGTGCTATTTTGGCCATTCACTTTAAAAAAAAAACATTCATTTTTTCCATTTCACTTAACCTCTTATATGTGATTGTGTGTCAGTGACCTGTGGAAAAGAAGCTGTGGGGAACTGTCACATTGAGGTATTTACAATTGAATGATCAGATGTGACTGAATCTTAAGATATTTAATACGTGTACTTGATGACTTACTAAGATCTGCTCTCGACATAGTAAAGACTACTCAGAATTACTATTTTAATCTACGGAACTATTGCATGTGAAATTGACTCTGTGTTAAGTCCATATAACACTTAGTTGGACTCACTTAGAATTGCCATAGAAGTTACATATATATATCATATTTTCTGGACAATAAGTCGCAGTTTTTTCAATTTTTTGGCTGGGTTTGCGATTTATACTCAAGTGCGACTTACTGTATGTATTAAAATATATAATTTCACGTGTTCGTTATTTTCACACTGACGACCCCTGGAGGACACTCTAGGCTTGTGTGTCAGCATCTGCTACTCCTGTCAATTTTGAACATACACACTTGCCCACCGCCCCTTGCAGAGTGACCGTAGGTTTGCTGGAAAAGTTGCTGTTTGTATAATTAACCCTTTCATGCATGACGGTCACTACAGTGGACAGCTATGAATATGTCATTTTCTATGATAAGAATAGGTTTTGATGGCATATAAGCCTCTACAGTGGATGCCAGAGAATCACCCAACACTGCCATACAGTGGTCAGCCTTTGCAACTGCAGAATAATTGTGTCAACATTCAAAAAGAAAATTTAGTGTATAAAAACAGAACCAAATCAGTTCTTATTTTTATGTCTAAAAACACTTAGTAACATTTTTTTTAACTCAGTATATCATGGGTCATGCATCAAAGGGTTAAAAAAAGATTAACAAAATAAATGTCCAATAAATGTGTGTTGCCCTGCACATTTTTTTTTTGTTTTATTGTGTGTTGATATAAGTTGACGGAAGAATTAAATGGAAAGTTGGGAAAATGCTGTTATTGCTCTGCCCTAAAGAAAGTATCTGACTCATTGTGAATGATTCTCTTTTTTTTTTTTCAGACAGCTGCAGTAAAATTACTCACTGAAGGGGGAAGGTGGAGTATCGCTCCTCCTACTTACAGTATTTATTTGGCTCCCTGCTTTGGTTTGTTTTATACATATTACACAAATACATATACATTTAGGAAACTATGCCCATGCACCTACTGGCTTGTGAATTTACAGTGCACACTACGAATAAGCTTGATAAGAAAATACACCCCAAATCCACACTAATAAGAATACACATAATATAACTATAATTGTATTTACAGTGAATCAATTCATTATTGTTTGAGTGCCCTGTCAAACGGTTTGGAAAAAATGCTGGGCCAGTTAGTTTCCTATTTCATGCTGTCATCATTGGAAATAAAGATGATGACACGGGTTAGATGCTTGAACTGATGTCAGCGAATCTTTATTTTTTGTAAATGTCAGTGTCAGTGAATCTTTACCCTGACCCAAGGGGGAAGAAAAGCATAAACAAACCCACCGGATTAACCAACTACCTATTTGTCTTTACCATATTTGCGTGGTCGGTCCAGCTAATTAACTTGGCACACTGTGATGTGTGGTGGCAAGAAATTAAAGTACATGTTCATGGATATTTATGGCTAACTAGTCAGGCAGCATCAGTTATTTGTGTCAGGTTGAGGTAGAGGTTACTCTTTACAGACTGTACTCCTGCAACATTATGCAAATTACAATGTTTATATTTTGGACACTTTTGGTCAAATGAGAAAAAAAAAACAACCTCTTTTGTATGGAGTGCAACTGCATGGGAGTAAAACAGATAAAACACAGGATGATTGGGTCTGGATTTGCTTTAAATGTCACAAATTGTTGTCTTTGTCACATGACCAACCCTTTGCACATTTCTCTCTGTAAAGTGCTTATCTCAGCTTAAACTGCCTTGTATGGTGTTTATATAGAAGACTATGAGTAAAGAGTCCGAGAACAATTGCCGGTCTTTAGTGTTTAGAGTGCTACTTTTTCTTTTTGTCTTTAAGCAGTATGTAAAAGCAAGACGAACAGAAGCCTTCATATGCTTTGTTCCAATAAACACGTAAAAAATAACTCGTCATTCCCAAATGGCGTGTTCCTATATACCTTCGTAAATTTGAACATAAACTAAACCGATAGCCTTTGTTACGTTTGTGATTATTTTTTAAGAGAATGGATAGCAGCAGAAGAGAATCCTATGAAAGAAGGGAGGGGGAGCGAGAGAGAGAGAGAGGGAGAGAGAGAGAGTGAGAGAGAGTCAGTGTGAGACTCAAATAGGGAACAGAGGGCGGGAGGGAGAGAGTAAGTAGTTTGAGAGATGCGTTGCAGCGGCGGAATGTCTTCTGTTTGCTGTCTGTAATCGCGGATATCGTTTCTTCCACTTTCACTGACTCTACGTTGTACGGGTGTTGCATTTTGTTGAAGTGTTGGATTCACTACAACTACTACGATGTGGATTTACAAGGTCATATTCGGACTCTTAGTCATTTCTTGTGCTGGTAAGTTTCCTTAAAACTAACACGAGTGCTTCAAGTGCTACCTGTTCGACCAGGAGCTGATACTTACAGTCAAACGCGGTAACCGTGATGACCGTGTCTTTACTTATGTAACAGTTAACCCTGCGCTATGGCAACTACTATGCAGTGTTCAGTATTTCGTGAGAAATGCGCAATTGAATTATTCATATGTAATTATTATATAATTGGTTGTTATATTACCAGTTGTGATATATGTTTATGCGACTTAGGATGTTTTTGAATCTACCTTACTCATTCAGAATCACTGTAGTGATTAAACAATGGATAATTACTATACCTTTGCTTTGCCCCGTTTGATCGTTTTCATCATTCTATACCTTTGCTTTGCCCCGTTTGATCGGGAATTGCCACTTGTTTTCATCATTTCAAACGCATACAGGCAATGAGAAGAAACTAGCTCACTGTGGTATAATAAAAAAGTAAAGTAAATTGCCCGTTGAAATCCCAAATTAAAATTAATTGCTCCGTAAAATTAATTGCAACGTCCGCGTTGTACTGTACAGGTCATCAAAACGATCTCACCCATGCTTGTTCATTCATAAATAGTAACAATGTGTCTACACGCTTGCTATTTACCTCAGCCTGTGCATGTTTGAGTCGCTAAAACAACAGAACGACAATACGAAGTTGAAAATCACTTTAAAAGGTGGGCTGTTCTCTACCCACGGCGAAAAAAGGATGTCACAGGAAGAGTATCCAGTGTGGACAACAAGGTGCCTAGTCACTACTGCGCTGTATACAGAGGAGCACTGTTGAGACCCAAGACAAAGAAAAAGGCAAAAATTAGTTAATTTTAAGGTGATATACAAAGCAATAATGCTAATATTTTAGAATATCCCATGCCAAGAGAAACCCAGCAGCTTACAGAATAAGTAGGCACGTCAGTAGGAAAAAAAAACATCATCATATAAACAACATATAAAATAAGACATTGGGATTAAAGAAAAAATATTGAAAGATAGGTCAGTGGTTTGAGAGGTTCCGTTTGTTTTGTGATGACATGAATATGGTGTTATTGTTAATAGTAGTAACTGTGACACATTGATGTATTTGTATTTGATATATATTAGTAATGCACCAAAATTAACCCTTTGATGCATGACCGATGATATAGTGAGTTAAAAAATGTTACTAAGTGTTTTTATGTGTTTTTAGAGATAAAAATAAGAACAGAACCAAATCAGGGTTCTGTTTTTATACACCAAATTTTCTTTTTGAATGTTGACACAATTATTCTGCAGTTGCAAAGGCTGACCACTGTATGGCAGTGTTGGGTGATTCTCAGGTGTCAACTGTGGAGGCTTATATGCAACACTGCCATCAAAACCTATTCTTATCATAGAAAATGACATTTTAATAGCTGTCCACTGTAGTGACCATCATGCATGAAAGGGTTAAAATCCTTGGCCAAAACCTCTGACTCCCAACATGCGCAGAGAAGAGTGACTTGAATGTATCAACTAACTACTAACTAATAAATACTGTTTCTCTAATTGTATGTCAGAGGGCAAACGTAATGCACTCCAGGATTATCAGAAAAGGGATGGACTCAGATTGATGATTGTGTCCCCTGATCCTTCCCTCGTGACCAAAAGCAGGAAGCTGAGTTTGGCCAAATGTGCTAAATCCTGCAGTCGCAACAAGAGGCTTCCCTTCACCTGCAGGTTTGTCTGCTAAAATGTCTGTAGCCTTTCGTCTGCATAAAATGAGGTCAGGTGGTAAGTCTTCAAGTCCCTGCCAAATTTTTGTTATTTTTTGGTCAGACCAAAAGTGCTTATACCCAAACTATGATTGTCCTACATTGCATTATTTTTTGCTCTAAGAAGATGAAAAGGAAAAAAAAACAACCTAAAAACTATTTCTTTCTTTGTCTTTCAGAGCTTTCCTCTATGATCTTAAAAACAAGAGATGTCAGTGGCTGTCATTTGATGTAAACTCACCAGGAGCTCTTAGTCAACCAGACTTTAACTACCACCTCTACCAAAAGACAGGTGCATACCAATTTCTACCTGTACAAGTGAAACTGTTTTTATACATGAAGTAAAATATGCCTTTAATTTGGATGGGGGATTACAGTGGTGAAATCCTTTGTTTAAGTAAAGACATATATATATAGAATATATAGTTAAATAAAAATGAACAATTGTACTTAAATTAACTTTTTAGAACATCATCAATTATCTTATTTAAGCATGAAAAGACCATATGTAGTACAAAATATAAAGTACATAGTAAGGTATATGTTTTGCTATATACTCATGTCAAGTCTAATTAAATTGTTTAGAACCAAATTCACAAAATACATTTTTACGCTATTTGTACTACAGTTTTTACATTAAATTAGATATTTAATATGACTTTTCTTAATATACATTTTGGCAGGGAAAAAAAATGGAAGAATGTATATATACTATATTTTCATTTGAAGTGGAGCAGACTACCTTATATAAATACTATTAAAAATTAAATTAGAGCAACGATTTGGACAAAGACTCTTTTGAGTACTGTAAGACATCTCTAACAGATGTCACTATATATCCAATAATTTACCATCCATAAACATATCACCTCCCTGACACACAGTCAGTGCACATTTAGCTGTTTGATCCGGCGCTTTAAATACAAATTCATCGCTAAGCATGTGTTGAGGCTTGAACCTTTAGGTCAGACAGTCAACTTACGTCAAACTGAGTACTGTGGAGTAAGTAAATCTGTGGCTGACAAGCTGACAGGGAAACAATTTTTTTTTAATGACTGTAGACAGATTAATATTGTAAAAAATGTAAAATTCTCCTACTCTATAGAGCAAAACTTCAAATTTTACCTTTGTGTATTTTTCTTGGCATTATTTCTTATTAATAAGTTCATCGTTTGTCTTTCAGTTGTAGCAATTTCGGGAACAAAAGGTTTTTGTCATATTTATGATGGTTGATTATCTCGATACCTCATGATTAATTCACCTATCACGTTTTTAATCACATGAAATACTTTGTGTTTGGGATTATTAAAATATATATATATATATATATATATATATATATATACTTAAGCTTACTTAAGCTTACTTAAGCAAGCTTAACCAAAAGCTAAACTTTAAAAGTAATTGTAATTTCAATGAAACACATATGCCAAACATAGTAGAGACAAAGCAGGAAATTGTGTGTGACTGGCTTCCTTCAGTCTATAAAGCCTTCAGAATATAATGAATTCCTACACATAAACAGTAATTCTGGTCCCCAGCATCTGACCTTCTACGGAAGATGCTGCAAGAGGAACATTTCTCCCTCGTCACTATTCATCCTGGCTTTTCTATATACAGCAGTACTTAAGGCACTTATGACACTGGCATGTCCTCACCAGTTTGCTGTTTCTTTTACAGATTATGTCAAAGAGTGTGTTGTTGGTATAGGTCAGAGCTACAGAGGTCGAAGGTCAGTGACTGTTTCTGGGATCCTGTGTCAGCCCTGGGCATCTCCTATTCCTCATGAACACAAGTAAGCCATTTTTTTTTTTACTTTTCTTCAAACACACCCATGTTTATCCACTTCTCAAAGATGCTGTTTGCTTACTAGAATTGTAGGAGGTCATGCTGGGGACTAGAATTACTGTTTACTGTATGTGTAGGGATTCATTATATTCTAAAGGCTTTGTGGACTAAAAAAAAAGCCATATCTGTCTTCAGAACTGTCCTCATTGCATCATTTTGAAGAGTCACACTCAATTTCCTGCTTTGCCTCTACTATGTTAAAAGACATTTGTGTGTTTATATGTGTCATTGGAATAACAATTAGTTTAGCTTTTGGTTAAGCTTAAGTAATTATGTAGTTTATAGGATTTTCCCAAAGAATCTGCCACTGTTCAAGGCAAATCACTCTACCTTTGTGGTACTTATAATTAGGGATGCACCAAAATGGTGTATTGTTGCCCAACACCGAAACGAACCCGAAAAAATGATTATGTCAATTATTAGTACCATTGCACCATTGTTTCAAAGAATAAAACAATTACAAAGTTATGAAAATATTTATTTAGCACATTCCAACAATGCACAATATAAAATAGAATTCAAAATAAAATGATAAACTTAAACACCTGTTTACATTAAATGATAATGTACAGGCCTGCTGGATTGCTTTTATGTGAAAGACCAACACAAAGTGGCATACAATTGTGGAGTAGAAAAACAAATTATACATGATTTTAATATTTTTTTACAAACTGAAAAGTGCGGTATGAAAAAGTATTCAGCCCCCCTAAGTCAATACTTTGTGGAACCACCTTTTGCTGCATTTGCAGCTGCAAGTCTTTTGGGGTATGTCTCTACCAGCTTTGCACATCTAGAGACTGAAATGTTTGCCCATTCTTCTTTGCAAAACAGCCCAAGCTCAGTCAGATTAGATGGAGAGCGTTTGTGAACGGCAGTTTTCAGATCTTGCCACAGATTCTCAATTGGATTTAGATCTGGACTTTGACTGGGCCACTCTAACACATGAATATGTTTCATTTTAAACCATTCCATTTTAGCCCTGGCTTTATGTTGAGAGTCGTTGTCCTGCTGGAAAGGGAATCTCCAGTCTCCAGTCTTTTGCAGACCCAACAGGTTTTCTTCCAAGATTGCCCTGTATTTGGCTCCATCCATCTTCCCATCAACTCTGACCATCTTCCCTGTCTCTGCTCAAGAGAAGCATCCCCAGAGCATGATGCTGCCACCATCATCTCTGATCAGTACTGAAAGTGTTTTTTCTTCATACTGCACATGGAGTAATAGTGTTAGCTCTAGAGCAGGGGTGTCAAACTCATTTTCACCGGGGGCCACATTAGCAATACAGTTCCATTTGAAGGACCGGTTGTAAATGGAAGACTGTATAGATTAGGGGTCCCCA